GGGGTTTTCAACCTCGGGCACGCCGCCTCTGCTTGCTGCCAGACGCGCTCGGGTGTCCTCCTCGAGGACAAGCGCTGGCCACGCAGCCCCCCGGGACGGCTCAGGGGGGCACCGGAGGGGGCTCGGAGCCTCCAGTATCTCCTATTCCCACCGAAAGCTCTAAAATAGGGTGGGGGGCTCTGCCCACGCTGGCACTCAGGCGATCGGGGGGTGCTTACCCGATACAGGAGAGGGGCTGAGGGCCATCACCCCGTAATAGGAGAAAGCTCCCGCTTCAAACTTCATGCATTCCTTGCCGGCCTCCACCTCCACCTTGCCCTGCACGGGAGAGACGGCGTCGGACTCCGTAAGCCGCATGCCACAGCGCTGGGGTGGATGAGACACCCCACACTCACCCCCCCCACCCACCCAAAACTCATCGCAGCCTTCCCGGGGTGACGGGTGACCCAAGGGACCCAAGCGCGGTGCCACCCCGCGCCCCAGGGTACCTGCAGGATGAGGATGAAGTAGTCGGCTGCTTTGTTCTTGCAGTAGAGGAAGTGACGCGGGGATTTCTTGTTCTCCTCGTCGAACTTCAGCTCCTGGATGACGTTGGAGTATTTGAGGAGGCGCAGCAGGATCTTCTCCGAGATGAAGTTGGGGGTGAAAAGTGTCACCTCTGAGAGGGAGAGGGGAAGTAGAGGGGATCAGAGCCGCAGTCCCTCTCCCGACCCTCCAGATGAAGGTGAGTCCCCCCCATCCCTCAGGGCGGTGCCTGGATGAGGTTGAGCCCCATCGACACCTCCGTGGGGCAGAAGCCCACGGGTCCGGCCCCAACACCAGCGCCAGGTCCCCAGCAAGGCCAGCTTTGGGGACAACAAGTGCCAGCCGGGGAACGGGACCATCCTGGAGGGAGAGGGACCTGCCGAGCGTCAGAGGCAGGGCTGGCATCCCCTGACCCCGTCCCTTCTCATTTTGAGGGGAGGAGAGTGGGAGAAGACGCAAGCGCCCCATAATTTCTGAATGAGATGGATGGAGCCACTCTTCCTCGGCGAGGGGACAAGAACAGAGCCCACGTGGCCACCAGGGATGTGGTAGCGCACCGAACCCAACCAGGTGGGTGCCGGGGAGCCGTCGGTGCCGGTGCTCCACAGCCGGAGTGAGCCGAGGGGTGCCCTGAGGATCGTCCCCCCCCCAAAAAAAACTCACCCGTGGAGAGGAAGCGGTGAGCGGCCAGCAGCAGCTGCGGGGAGACCTTCACCTTCAGCTCGTTGACGGGGTCCTTGAAGGCCGAGAAGTCCCTCTTGTTCTTCTGGTTGCCCACCCGCTTCTTGCTGCGGTTGTCGGCTGTGGGGAGCAGAACGTCAGGGTTGGGGGGACCCCAGCACGCGATGGCTGTGGGGAGAGGAGCCGAACCCAAAACCTACTGTACGTATCCGACTCGTCCAGGATCTCCGACTTGATGATCTCCTCGATGACGTCCTCCAGCGTCACCAGCCCCAGCACCTCGTAGAAGGGATCTCCTTCGCCCTCGTTGTTCACCTTCTGCACGATGGCCAGGTGGGACTTCCCTGCGGACAGACACACGGACGTTGGGAGGGAGACCAACCCCAGCCCCACCGCCGGGACGTCACCAGCACCAGCCCTTCTCTCCCCGAGGAGGAAACAATAAACCAGTTAAAAATCTTAACGAGCCCCTGGGCTGGGCACTAATTCCCAGGGTAATGACAGTAATTAAGCCCATGACGGCGGCGACAGCGACGTGCGCGAGGCTCAAGGCACCTCCGTGCCACCGTGGGGTGTGGGCTTGGTCAGGGGGTGACAGCCGAGCGGGATGTGTCCCCAGAGGAGCCCGTGCCACGTCACCGGAGCACGGCACGGTGCCGGGCTGAGGGCACCCCGTCACGGAGGCAACGACGCGGCCACGCGTCGGGTTTCTGCCTGC